TGATAACAAGTACCAAAACTTTCACGACAAAACTCTCTATGTTTAATAAAACATTGTTCTTGCATAAAAAAGTAAGTTTGATTGTTGACTCACAACAAAAATATTTTAGTCTAAAGACAGGACAAACTTGTTAGGGTGGAAAAGGCAGGATCTGAACACAGTGTCTACTTTATCTGTTTCCATGGAAACCAAGAAAATTCAATAATGTATCATTTTTATGCTGAATTATGTATTACAATCTTGACTAGTGAACACTCAATAAGATATTACAAGTCTTTGTGTTCAAGTCAATGTATCTAAAAGATTACTAAGAATGCATGAAGCTACAATCAGCGGAGTTAAACATCTGATACCTGCTCCTTGGAGAGAGCGGTTACTTAGTAACCACAACCACAATAGAAGAAATGGTGTTAGTAGTTACATATAGTAACTATTCATAAATGATGATTTGTTAATAGTTCAATTTAGATTATATTACTGAAAATTTGAGATGAACAGACATTTATGCAACCGATATACCGGTATGTTTTTAATCTAATGTACGATTTATGGAAACGTGAATGAAATTTGGAGTAGAGTCAAGTATTATTTTGCCTTTTTAAGTTTTGGTTAATCTATTTTCCGTAATTTATGCAGGTATTAATATTTTTTTCAATTGTTCTTTTTATTTTGATTTGTCATGAAAATTTGAATTTTTTTTAATTCTGATAAAAAAAATTTAAACAAGCAGCCAATCGGCTGATATAGCTCCGCTGTTAGCAATGCACATTCCAATTAAAAAACAGAAAATATAATTAGAAAATGAACAATATGTATAGTATATTGTGTCAAAGCAATTAGACTTGCTGTTTTCAACAAGAATTTGAAAATGTCACTTTTTACCAAAATTGACATAAATATTCATCAAAATTAAAGAATTAGAAATATCATCCAAAAATGAACAGATCTGAGAGAGGTTCACATGTAGTATCTATAAATGTAATATCAAAGCAATCGAACATGAGGTTTTTAACAAGAAGTCGAAAATATCACTTTTTACCAAAAATTACATAAATATTCATTAAAATTGGAGAATTGAAGATATCATCAAGAAATGTACAAGTCTGAGAGTGGTCCACATGTAGTACCTATACATGTAATATCAAAGCAATTGGACTTGCGGTTTTTAACAAGAAATCGGGAATATCACTTTTACCAAAAATGACAAAAATATTCATCAAAATTAGAGAATTAAAGATATCATCACAAAAGGAACAAATCTAAGAGAGGTTTGCCCAAGATACATATACACCAAGTATCAAAGCAATAAGAATTGTAGTTTTCAAGAAGAAGTTGAAAATGTAACAAGCAGCCAGTCGGCTGAGAAAGCTCCGCTGTTAGCAATGCACATTTCAATTAAAGAACAGAAGATATCATTAGAAAATGAACAATATGTATAGTATCAAAGCAACTGGACTTGCAGTTTTAACGAGAATTCAAAAATATCACTTTTCGCCAAAAATGACAAAAATAATCATCAAAATTAGATAATTGAAGATATAATCACGAAATGAACAAATCTGAGAGAGGTCAACATGTAGTACCTATATATGTGATATCAAAGCAATCAGACTTGCGGTTTTCAACAAGAAATCAAAAATATCGCTTTTTACCAAAAATTTCAAAAATATTCACCAAAATCAGAGAATTAAAGATATCATCACGAAATGAACAAATCTGTGAGAGGTTCACATGTAGTACCTATACATGTGATATCAAAGCAATCGGACTTGAGGTTTTTAACGAGAAGTTGAAAATATCACTTTTTACCAAAAATGACAAAAATATTCACAAACAAGTCATTGAAAATGACACAGTCCCCATTATATTTTTGAACGTTCTCTTTGTGCTCGTCATATTAAAGCAGAGGGGTAGTCGCGAGCGTGTCCTTGAAACTTGAGTTCCAAATGGCGTATACAACAGATTGTTTATTTACATCAAAACACGTGTTCCATGTAGTAGTAATATGGCCAAAAATAAAAACAGCAGTTATTCGGCCATCTTTGATCTGATTATGAAACACACTGATATGTATGATGTGTGTGCCAAATACGAATGAAAATGGTACATAAATTGTGGAAATATAGTAGCAAGGCCAAAAATTCAGATGGCTGTCAATCGGCCATCCTTGACTAGATTTTGAAACAAATTGTCATGGACATGCATCCTAACATGTATAAAGTACATGTATGTGCCAAATTTAAATGAAAACTTACAGAGCACGTCCAAGATACCGCTTAAAAAAAAAAACAAGATACCTGCCAGTCGACCATCTTTGATCCAATTGCGAAATAAATCGTCATGGACATGTATCCTAACATGTATAATATATGTACCACGTTTAAATGAAAACTGACAAAGCATGTCCAAAATACAACATTTTCAAAAAACAAGCTGGCTGCCAGTTCCACATAAAGTAATAGGCACATGCAAAGAATGAACGAAATCGGTCCACAGGATTCTGAAATATGACTCTGGACAGACTGACACACGTATGGATGGACACACGAACAGACAGACGGACAGACTCAGGAACTCACAGACAATTGAGGACATGTATTCTAACATGTATTATCTATGTACTAAATTTGAATGAAAACTGACAAAGCATGTCCAAAATACGACATTTTCAAAAAACAAGATGGCTGCCAGTTGGCCATCTTTGAATCGAATCTCTAAACCACTGCATGTGCATATGTCCCACCATAAAGTACGAGGCACATGCAAAGAATGAACAGAATTGGTCCAAGGGATTCTGAGATATGACTCCGGACGGACGAACGCACAGACGCACGGATGGAGACCGAATTATAAGTCCCCGTTTTCGGACTTCGTCTAAACGGGAACTAAAAATAGAGAATTTGAGATTTTGACATGAAATGAACAAATCTCAAAAAAAACTATCCAAGGTACTTGCATATCAAATTTGAAAACATTCTGACCTGCGGTTTCGAAGCAGAAGTTGAAATTGTAAAGTTGACTCCGACTCCGATGACGACGACGACAACGACAATCAGTAATATGAACATCTCCGCTGTGTCGACTTTGTCGACAGCGGAGCTGAAAAGGTATAACGAACATATTTGTAATTTTTTAACAGACTATAATATAGATGATACAACATAGAATGTTGAAAAACAAAGCACAGAAAGAAACAGAGTTTTGAGAATAAATTGTATTATTTTGGTAGTGGCTTTTCGAATACTTTTTAGTAGAAAACTAAAAGAAATTACGATGGTTATTACTGTTTTTTTGTCAGTATTGAATGTAGAAAATTGAGAATTTTTTCTCAAAATTTACTAAGAATCAAAAAACTGTATAATGATGAATAATGGGAAATGGTTTCTTTGTCTTGCTTAGGCATACAACAAACATCATTTACAGGGATATTTCTAGAAAAAATGAACAAGAGGGAGCACCACACAGGCGTGGGAGCAGAGTGAGTTTTGTGCCGCGGGTCAACATGCTTAAATGCCCAAGCGTCAAGAAAAACAACAAGTGACCTTCCTGTCAAAGCTTTCGCACCAATGGGTTAAAGTACATCCAGTCTCGAGAACTCCTGCTTCATAAGTCAGCTGACCCTTCACGTTAACTAAATCAAATCTCGCAGGAGTAGCTAGCACAGAATCAACATGTCGATTTGACCTAAAAACTCCATATCAGAAGGGTTCTGTGCCGTTTTAACAGTGTAATCTATCACCATTGAAATATTTTTGAAGTAATTTTAGTGTATTTGGTTTCCAGACACAATGTCAGCTGGTGTTGCTGGGATGTTTTCACAGAAAAAAATACATTTGAAAAAGATTTCATGTTGTACGGCAGCACGAAAGTGTGCGGCTCAAAAAATATATTTATGACTTGAAAGTTCAATCGGCAATTAAGTAAGAGTATCAAGCCGCACCACTGTTCCTCGATTTAGAAAAAAAAAAAATGATTTAAATACCCCTCTCACAAATCTCCCTCCCACCATCATAAATGAAAACACAGTACACTGTAATTTAAATCATCAACCCTCCCCCTTTAGTGGCAGGATTTGATAATAACATTATCATGTGACAACAATTAAGATCTTAAAATCTCAATAAAAAAAAAGGCAGTAACTAAAAACAATTAATGATGACAGGAAATAAAAATCTGTTTACCAATCACTGATGAACAAGAAATAGAAATTTTATTTCTACCACGTTCTGTCATGATTTGAAGATCATTAAATTTCCCCTCTCTGCCCGAGTTTTAAAAATATATTAAAACAAAACTATTAAAGCTTTCCCATGATTGCTAGTGCACTATGAGATAAAGTAAGCAATGTGTTAATGAAATAACCATAACATTGAAAGTGTTATTGAAATATGATCATTGTCGAGTGATTCAAAACCAACAACAAAAGGTATACTAGAATACCATTTTGAATTTCATCAAGGTCACATAATGTTCAAGTTCGAATGAAATCCATGCATATACTTGTACGAGACCAAGATCTGGTTCTAGAATGACAGAAATACTAAAATAGCTATCAATTGATCATTTGTAATTGGATCATGTAAAGAATTTATGCAAACATGTGAGAAAATTTAAACATGATTGACCAGTTATGGCAAGGATATCAGTATGGAGCAATTTTTGGATTGAGTGCAAGCAATGACATTGACAAAGTAACTTCTATATTTTGCCAACTCATTATCGTCATAAACATGGTAAGAATCCCATGCTACTGAGACGAGTTAAAAATGTACTTTGTTATCTTCTGAGGTTCAATTATAGAGGGCGCCCTTACATACCCGTTTCAGCATAGTACTACACAGAAGTTAAAATTAATAAGATGGTATTGAAAAACAGCAACTTGCTATTCCATTACCTGTATATAGTCTAAAAAGAAATCTGCAAGTGTAATTTCTCACAACCAGTCTGTTTAAGGTATTACATATACATATGACATCAAATATACAGTTTAATTGACTTACCTGTTTGGTGAAGTGTCAACCCAGATAAATCTATCAAAATAAAAAAATATATATATGAGAGTTTTGAAATAAAAACATAAATAGTTCTGACATGCCAGAAATGCATCTTGTTTTAGAATCTTCCTGACAGCAATAGTCAGCTGTCGGGTACAATATGAAATAACAGCAGTATACTGCCCTCTGTGTCAAAATTATGAAATTCTTTCTTTCAAAAAAAACACAACACAAAATATCACCCACATGTACCGGTAAGTGAAATAAAGTGAACGATAGAAAGCATTAGTTACAGAAGAGATAAATACAAATTCAATCAAATTTGAGATACTTCATTTTTATCAGTAATTCAGACATTTGTATATCATTCAATATTCAGATATAACTTTGCATGCTTACAATGTGACTCAGGTTTACTCATTGTGCACATATACTATTGAATATTTACACTCATAACCACTAACTGCTACTATGTGAGCACACACACTCACATACTTGTGTAAAGCCATGTCTATATCCACACATACAATAACACTCACCGCACACAATCGTGTTTGTACACACTCATGCCAGGTACATTTTAATCTCATTTTACCTATTCATTTTAAATTGCACAATGTACTAGAGATTGAATGTCAGTTTCAACAAATCACCTTTCCAAAAGGATGATTGCAACCAATCTGTTGCTGTCCTTCTGACACAAAGATCCAAAAAGCAACTAAATATTCATCAAAAATATGCTTTCAATAACTGTGTGAATTGCAAAATAGAAAACAGCATGACGACCAACAGACATTGTCGAACTAGCAATGGTATTTTAAATGAGAGAACATTCAATTGTGGACAGTGAACAGGTACAGATAGAAGCATTGGTTTTCACCCTATTCCCTCACATCTTAAAATGCTATTTTATAACTATACAATGGACCAAGAACCACGGTAACAACACTATAATCAGCATAAAATATGATACAGCACTGATTGTATGTCCAATTTATTTACTACGCTAACCATCAAGATTTCCTTTAAAGTCTGGTAAAATTCAAGAGCGGAGAAAAACGTTAGTGAATATAACAGCCATAGTTAATATGGTACTGTTTAATGTATTTACATTTTCAAAGCTTTCACATATTGGATGTGTTCACTTCTCATAGACTAAGAGGTGAAAAACATTAGCACCATGGTTAAAGTACATAATAAATCTGATCTGTTTTTTATAATATGGTCTAGACCCTTAGCAGGGGCTATTACAAAGTGTACCTGGTTGCTTAGTCTGGGCTAAGCACCCAAAATGCCATTGTACCTCATGACAATTCACTACTACATTGTATATTCCTATAACTATTAATGTCAGTATGCCATTTCCGACATGACAATCAATGTGAGCACATCCAGGAACATTATTCTCTGGAAAAAATTAGCCTGACAATGAGACTCTGTACTACTTCCTGTTATTCTGCAATCTGCACTTTCTGAATTTGCTTTGGTATTCTTTTATAACCATTGAACTAACTAATACTAGTATACCTTCCTGGTTACTGTACTGAGTAAACGTAGTTACAAGTTTAGGTGTTCCTTAGCGCATGCTAAATGCAATTGGATCTAGTAACAGATACGCAAACATACAAGATACGACATAACTCTTGTACTTGGTGTACACGACTTAAGTCACAGTCTTTAAATATGAATCCTGCAAAATGTTCAATTTTCATTGCTAGAAAACTGTACGTAACTCACAAAATTCATTGAAAATTTGTTTCTGACAAAATTGAAATGGTTTTCAGGGCTTCATAAAAGGTTTAGAATCTCATCCAGATTCACACTGCATATACATGGTATTATCATTTACAGCAAAGAACAAGACTTTAGCTCACAATCTTATGTTTCCATGGTAACATCCTTAGCAGATGTACATCTATATTTACAGTACATAGTCATGATTCAGTCAAAAAGTTTGTTTAAAATATCACTTTGCGGGGAGAAAAAAAAGTATAATAAGAAATGAAAACTAACGGCTCAGTCATTTTTATATCTACAATGGCACAATTTTGGCATTTCTGGTTGCTTGGCAACCATGTATAACAATGTTAATTCCATGAACAAAGGGAGGATTTGATGCACATTCATTGATCAGAAATATGCAGTTTCAGGCGAATAGTTTACAATAATCAGTGTACTTAAGTTTCAGAAATCGATTTGATGTTTGAAAAACTAACATAATCTATAAAATTTCAATTGAATATTCCATAATACTTGGAATACTGTAAAATATTTATTTTCGCTATATTCGTTGATGATTCAGTCAAAATATATTTCACAATCAACTTAAAGAAATAAACTTTGCAATATTTTAAAATTGAAAATTACTTAAATAATGAGGAAGAATTTATATTCATAGGCAAATATATAACAATAGACAATTGTTCCTATCCTAAATATTGTGTTGTTATGTAAATTAGACTAGGTGTACAGAACAATAGAGTATTTAAAACAGTATTGTCTTCAACAGAGAAAGGGACTTGATCTGAACATTTATTTACCCTCTACCTGCCCCAGGTCAAGACTTACAAGTGTCAGTTATCTGAACAAAACAAAACCAAATCACAAATTAGGGTTCCCTTCCACTTAAACTTTGACCTTGCCTTGGATAAGTGCAGTTGTAGACAAGGTCAGTTCAGAGAACACTACTCAGTCAATTGAAGTGTATGACACCTGAAAGCAAAGAATGATTGATGTGCATACCTACTCTTAATAGTTGTATATCAATTACACGCATAGCAGTGTATACTGCACTCAATATAGCCATTCAGACAAAACTGACAGTACCACAATTGAGACGTTTAGACTTCCTTTTAAATGTTTCATTACGATACCAACAAACATAAGGGCTAGGCTCAGAGAAAATATATTCCAGCTTTTGGTCATCAGTTAAAAATGTACATGCCACAGATTTTTGTTTCGGTTATTGTCAACATTTTTGAACTAAAAAACCAACAAGGGAACGACAAAACAACAAAACTATAATAAGTACACGCATATTTACAGGTAAATAAGATTGTGGATAAATAAATTTGACTTTATTACTGATTGGATCCAGTTATAGAATGAGTCTGTGAATTGTGTTCCTTTAACCTATTCACCACCAGTTCCCTCTTTTCCTCAAAAAATAGTCTGCTTACAGTCTGCACTTTCCATCAGAAGATTGGAACAAAAATAGTCAAATATTTTGAGTAAAAACTGAAAATTGACTCAAATTTTGTCTGTTGGCTCTAAAATTCATTCCCAGAAATATTGAAGAATATAAGAAAATTTTGGGTGAGAAAGAGAAATGAACCACATACCCATGATATTTGAGCATAATATACATATACTACAAATTAAATCAATCGAACTAGCAAAAATATTAGCTACAATTATAGAATAGAAGATATTGTATTAAAATATTCAAATCTAATGGAGGTCCATCTAATAGAATATGAAAACAATCAGAATGATGGTTTTCAAAAAGCAGACGATAATAACTTTTTTTATCAAATCTTATAGAAGTTCACCCAAGAACGAATGTACCAAGTATAAAAGCAATAGAGTTTTTAGTTTACAAGAACAAGACATTTGAAGAAAAAGGTGTTGCGTGGCGCATGATGACAACCACCTATACCAACAGCTCCTGTCCTCTTCAAAAAGCAATATGACAATTTAAAAAATATAAAGAGCAGTTTTCAAAAAGTAAAAAGTATAATTTTTTACGAAAACTTTAGCTTACATAAACAAAATTAATGCAATTGGATGAGTAGTTTTCAAAAAATAAAAAAAAATAAAAAAAAATAATGGGAGGTCCACTTGAAGTTAATACATGTATACACAAAGTATTAAAGCAATCAAACTAGCACTTTTCAGGAAGAAGTCATAAAAAGTTGATATGATTGACAATGGACAAACCCTAATATGATTAACTGTGATGATGAAACAAATAAAAAGTGAATTATTAAAAACGCATCTCCAATAGAAGTACATATGAATAAATAAATTGCATCTGATGTATACTGAATCATTAAAATATTATTTTTTTGATAATCATAAAATGTCAGTCACATACATGTAAGTACATATACTTAAAGAACAAATATGGTATGCTTCTGACATGTCATGAATTTATGAACTCAAACATTGAAATCAAACCACCCGTCTTTGTATCAATTGCACCAATTACCAATCAACTCTTTGGGTTCAACAAATACAATGACATCCTGTAAACTTTTCTTGATCACGAACTCGTCTTGTCTAGACATGACTGAATATTCATTCTCTATAAGGCAATACAAAGGTCACCTTGTCCAGGGATCACCAATCCATACCAGGTATATTATATGCCTTGCATCACAAAGTGTGACAACCTGAAGCGACTAGGGGTGTTCTCTTAAAAAAAAGGTGTTTTATGTAGGAACATACACCATTGCCTTTTGCATGCAAAAGCAGCATATGTTTGACGATAGGAAACCACCCAACTAAATTTTTTTTAATGATGAAAATCAAAATCAACTCCTCCCCCTTTTTTTTATTGGAGAATTTTAGAAAAAAAATTGACAATTTTTACACTCCCTTATTCAAGTTTATAAGCAGTATTTATAATTGACAACTGTATGCTATATGTCATATTGTTTTAGGCTGTCTTGCTATTCATGCTCCTAGAATATTGCATGATTGAAACAAGACATGACAAATGAATGAAGACATGCATAGCAAATCAGTCAACAACATACATATAGCTGGAAATGTTTAACACAATATGATGGTAGGATTTTAAATCATATAAAGCCACTCAGATGATGTTTAGAAGTAGGTTTGAGACATTAACATTGTAACAATAAACATTTGGAACTCAATTAGCAATGTATTTTCAATCATACTACAATTGTAAGAATGGTAATGCCATTTAATTGAGGTGCTGAATTGTTCGAGTTACGGACATCGAGTTACGAAAAAATTACCACGCCCATATTTTAGAAACCACGCCTACTTTTGCAAGACTTTGTCCAAATTATAACTTGATGTTCAATTAATAGTTAACACAACTTTGAGTCACGGGCAACATACATTATTGTTATTGTTGAATGTCCACATTTAATAACACAAATTTTAATTAAGAGTTAACCAGACATTGAGTTTCAGGCAACATAGATTTTATGCTTTGTTTAACATTCAAATTTAGTAACTTGAATGTTAATTAACAGTTAAGAGATTTTCCAGTTACAGGAAACATAAAACATTACACAAACAAAAAATATTTGTTGCACATAACCTGTATTAATATTCTCAGTTATTCAGACTGCATACAGAGACTTATTAGAAAACATTGTGTTGAATATTTGGATAAAAATTAAGGTAGAGATGCAGGTTCGTGGGCACTTTGGAGTGAAATTTCTTTGTTTTGCTTTTTATTATCCAAAAAGTCTTGGCTATAGACTGTTGAAATTGTGTAGAATTGTGAATAGTAGAACATACTCAAAAAAACGATTTTAAAATATAGATAACAGGTGCAAACTTATCTCTTCTGAATGCTTAGCAAGATTTAGCAAGGCTGTACATAAATAATATAAAAAAACATGGTGAAAAAAAGAAATGACGGGATCTCCATATTTATGCACTGTATTTAACTTTTTACAAAACGATAATACATTTAAATTTGAAACTGTAACAGCCATTTTAATTATGAGCATTAGCAAACTTCTTACTGAGTTAATTGTTATGCAAATTAGCAATTATCTCAGCTTCTTTTTAGTGCACATTCCAGAACTTTAAAAAAAAATTGCTCCTAGACGCTTTGACCTTTTCTTTTGAAATTTTCACAAATGATTGACAATGTGTTTATCTTCAAAACGCTGTGGGGGGCATTGTTTTTAGTTGAATAGTGTTACAGCAATGTACAGAAAACTAGCCTGGGTCTTAATTTATGCATAAACTTGAAGTAGTGAAATTTGAGCTGCTGCCCTACAAAATTGACAACTGGTAGACAGTTTTCAAGCTGGCGCTTTCTTCATAGTAAACAGATGTACCCATAAACCAATTTTGACAGGAAACAGAAGCATGGTTTAGCAGCTAATTTTTTTTAAATCACTTTTGTCCAAAAAAGCACATTTTTGTGCATATTTCAAACTACAGTGTCCATAAAAATAAAATACTAACAAAACTTTAAAATTCATCCAATAAGCTTTCCGAAAATATATAGTTTTGTGGACAAGGGAGGTCATCTTGGTTTCCTAATTAACTAATTAAAATACCTGTCAGGTAAACTGCATCTCTACCTTAATTGTGAAGGTACCAAAATAAGGACGTCTGTACAAAACAAGTGCTTATAAACCTACATAACTCATTCCAGCAGGCATACTGATTCCATCCACTAGTAACGCAAGTCTCATAACCATTATCAAGATAATGTCAAGTTGTGTCCTTGTCAGATCAAGATAATGTCAAGTTGTGTTCTATGTCAGATCAAGATAATGTCAAGTTGTGTCCTGTGTCAGATCAAGATAATGTCAAGTTGTGTCCTGTGTCAGATCAAGATAATGTCAAGTTGTGTCCTATGTCAGATCAAGATAATGTCAAGTTGTGTCCAATGTCAGATCAAGATAATGTCAAGTTGTGTCCTGTGTCAGATCAAGATAATGTCAAGTTGTGTCCTATGTCAGATCAAGATAATGTCAAGTTGTGTCCTGTGTCAGATCAAGATAATGTCAAGTTGAGTCCTGTGTCAGATCAAGATAATGTTAAGTTGTGTCCTTTGTCAGATCAAGATAATATCAAGTTGTGTCCTATGTCAGATCAAGATAATGTCAAGTTGTGTCCTGTGTCAGATCAAGATAATGTCAAGTTGTGTCCTATGTCAGATCTGGATAATGTCAAGTTGTGTCCTGTGTCAGATCAAGATAATGTCAAGTTGTGTCCTATATCAGATCAAGGTAATGTCAAGTTGTGTTCTGTGTCAGATCAAGATAATGTCAAGTTGTGTCCTGTGTCAGATCAAGATAATGTCAAGTTGTGTCCTGTGTCAGATCAAGATGATAGATACATACCTATTCCTGGTGAAACAACGCGTTCGTAATGATAGGGATTGACGCACACACTGTCACACTTAAGATCAAATGCATATTGACAAAATTTCATGTGTTTAAGTTCATTTTTATGCAGATCTGGCCACCGCCACAGCCTTGCGTAAATGACATGAGGGAAGCCCTTTCGTCCTGCAACCTGCAAAGACATAAAAGAATACATTAAACATGTATATATTGCATTATAATACAATGTACTAATCTTTATTTTTTTAGTGCACCAGACAATCACATCATCACATCTCTATCAAAACATTTGAAATGGTCTAGCATTTTCCAATACTGTACTAAGGAAAAGATGTGTGGCCATTTTCAGGGTGGGAACAGTTAAGTTGTTCATGAAGAAATAAAAAAAAATGTCCAATCTACTTCCTACTATATTTAATATATTACCTAACAAGTCACATATCATGGCATAGTCCCTGTTGGATTAAGGGGAAATGTTATTCATGCCAAAAATAAGTAATATGAACCAAAAGCATAATTAATAATTTACTATTTGGCTGGTCAACAGAAATTTGATGTATTAAGTAAATGACTCTTCCAAAATCATAATATATGTTCAGAAATTAAACAGAATATAATATTCATGCACATGTTGTTTCCAAATTTGTCAAGACTCATGTACAGAGATACGAACCATGAAACCATCTCAACATGTATGATGATTGTATCAAATTTTAATGAAAACCGACAAATCCTGTCCAAGATACCATATTTTCAAAAAAACAAGATGGATGCCAGTAGGCCAAAAATGATTGAAAATGATCCCTAAGCATTGGAGATATAGTAGCATGGTCAAAAAGCAAGATGGCCACCAGTCAGCCATCTTTGCCCTGATTGTAAAACAAATTGTCATGGACATGTAATCTTAAATGTACATGTATAATGTATGAACCAAATTTGAACCAATACTGACAAAGCATGCATAAGATACCACAAAATGGCTGCCAGTCAGCCATCTTAGATTGAATCAGTAAATCACTGCGTGTGCATATGTCTTTGACAAAGTATTAGGCACATGCAAAGAATGAACAGATTTGGTCAAATTACCTGAAACTAAGGGTTCTTTCTCTATACTAAATTTGATACTGAGATCTATAAAAGCTAACAATATTTTTTTTGACATGTGGACGTTACAAAGCTTAACATAATGCTGGTAAATATTTTATACATTCACTTTAATCCGTAATCTGATAACAGCAAAATATCAACGTTTTGAAGTAGTTTCAACTTCCTGGTTTCAATCCTCATGGAAGTGTCCTTTTTCTCATTAAATATTAATGACAAGTTTAAGGCCCACAAAATAACCTATTTACTCCCAAATTTGTCACACAGATAAAAATCACTCTAAAAAGCTTTATATTCTTTGAATTTCAACAACATCCGGAGACTGAGATAGGGATTTACGTGAAAGCCGCTAAACAAATTGCAAAAATACCTTTTTTCACAGATTGAGACAATTTTTGAGGATTGCAATTGAAAGTATAGAATTGAAATGAAACAGAAATATCGTGGCCCTGTACTCTGAATATATATATACCTACAGGTGAGTCACAGTTCAGTAAAAATACATATTATGGCATTCTGCCCATCTGTTGGGAATACAAAACATAACAAAACATGATACTACAACTGACCTCTTGTAATCATTAATATAAAAACAGCTATGCCAAAATAAATGTTGTTTAGTCTGCTAGAAATGAATGTACATTTATGATATTGATAACAGAATTTACTTTATATCCCATAAAACGCATCAACAACATCCTCACAAACTTTGACGTAGACTTAAAATGTGAAATTGGATAATGTACATTTCACTAGTACAATTTCTAAATGATAACGACTAAAGTAGCGAGGAAACATTATGTATTCCATTAAATTCGATATTTAAGTTTTGGCCAATAACTGACAGTCAATGCATAGTTTACTTCACCACCAGTTCCCTCTTTTCACAAAATTTATAGTCTTCATTTTCCATCAGAAGATTTGGACAAATATAGCCAAAATTTCAGTAAAAACCAAATTTGGTCTATTGGCTCTAAAATTAGGGTTCATTTCCAGAAACATTGAAAGAAATAAAAACAAGCAGTCTATCGGCTGAGAAGTCGGAGCTAAAAAAGTGCAGACAAATTTTGGCGAGAAAGTCTGGTAGTGAAAAGGTTAAAAAGAGACATTTAAAATACACGATACAACTACAAATAAATGTACATTTCTGTTTGTTTCCTTCCTTGAACTTATCGGCTATGAGGTGTTCAAGATGTAGTTAGCTCAGTAAAACGTTCCCTGACAGCAGATGGTTTATTAATAATATTATAACAAGATGAAATTAAATCACAATATGCACGCTATGTTATGACCTTAAAAAGAATACTCCAAAATATTATAATTACATTTTCTATTCTCAATCGCATGCCAATCATTGAAACAACACAATTCTACATTGAGAAGCACCAGAAAATATTCCCTAGACTCAATATTGCAATTAATTGGACTAAAATGGGAGTATTGGCTATAGAATGGTGGAAATGTTTTGAGTCTATCACCATGCTAAGAATTAATGCCCATTTGGACTATGCTGGAAATATCTGTATAAAATGTAAATTTTGAATGTAACTCATAAATAAAATATCCTGATGTCATATTTATGTTCATTTGTGTGGGTGTGTACCAAGGTTAAATCAGCCCTATTCATGCATTGACTGAGATCCAGTTCAAGTACTTCTATAAATGTCCATCAGTCAGCCATTTTTAATAAACAAATGATGTGCACCGGAATGCTATGATGTGCATCAGAGTTTTATGATGTGCATCAGATTGTTATGTGCATCAGAGTGTTATGATGTGCATCAGATTGCTATGATGTACTACGTTTTATAGAAATACACACGTGTGACTGAAAATCCTGTTCTTGAATTGCAGAAATGCTATATTCAAAATTGAATAACAAAACAAACTCACATTTACAATATGCAAAACTATATATTATGTGAATATCTGAAGTTTGCATGTGACTAATCATTGGGTATCGATGGATATTACTGTAAAATCATTTATTTTTACAGACATTTCTTATTATTTCGATGGTTGAGCTTTTCACTTGGCACAGAAACAGTGAGTTTGATTGATTTTAAACACATGGATTTATTTCAATGAATTTTATTCATCAGAGAAAATAACAAAATTCAAACCCAATGATTATTTAATGTCTACGTTGAAGTTAGCATGACTGGTTCAGGCATATACATGTATGCAATGAATTATGGATGTGAAAAGTTTTGATTGGTGCAGACATATCTAAACTCATCTGCACAGGGTAGTATCTATAAGCTCGAGAACTAAACAGCAATTATTTTTAATGTACAAGTATGACCCATAAATAATAAATATTGTAATTACTGAATATTCCAATACATCATACCAGTTTATGACAGCGTAATAAACGCTTCATGGATATATTAAAAGTTATTAATTACTGGTTCCAGTTCAGCAATTAAAACAATCTGACTAAATTTGTCAATGATGTCATCTCTCATTTAAGTTATAATAAATCATAGTTTTTGGTTAATGTATTTCATATACCGCAGTAAAAGCAGTTTTATTAATATTATTGGCAGACACCCTGCAAAGAAAATAGAATATGTTTTTCATTCACACTGTGCTGCATGCTGGCAATTTTCATACACGTGTAGATGTTCAGCTATTGAGAGTCCCTGGTGGAAGATTATTTTTTATTGAAAGCAAAGCACTGAAAGAGACAATAGAATTTATTTGAATAATAATTACAAGAGAAGGGTTGATCGTTTCAGATGAAGTGAGTCTAATGAAAAGGAAACCTACAAATGTCGAAATATTTTTTTCACATATGCCAGGCAAATTTTCCTCATTATTTCACTTCCTCCCATAGCAAATTTATTTTTCATGCAATTCACCAACTGGATCTCCAATTTTCCAAGGGAAACCCCCCTAAAATGTATGTAATTGTGTTTGTCTTTTGATGGAGCTATTAACATTTTGAATAGAGGACTTTATTTTATGAGAAGCAAAGGGTGAAATCATTCATTTTCTTTTTACTGAAAATTAATTTGAAAACTAGTAGAAAAATAGTAGTCGTTAATTTTTCCATTTACATCAATGTCCAATGACAGTTAGTAAAAAGAACAATTATAGATTGTTTTAAATTGTTAACTCAAACACAGTGGTTGTCATATTTATGTGATATTAATGATAAAACTGACCTAACCATAGAACGTTGTTCAGCACATAGAGCAGATCAAATGCGTAGTCATAAAAAAAATGTTCAACTCCAACTTTTACTTTCCTGTAGCTTTTCAGTGATTGAATCCCAGGAGCCACGTGAACGAATTAATTTTCACTGCTAGAAAGTTTTGCAATTTCAGGATTTTACAACATTAATAATGAAGACAAAATTTCACTACAATATTTCATGATTTTCACAAAAAATCTTTTTCTTACCAAAATAAAGCAGTTTACATTATTTCAATGACCACAGTAATAAATACGTTTCTCACTACTGTAAAATACTTTATTTTTGCTTGAAACTCATTTTTCATTATTTTCGCTAAAGGAATGATTAAATGCAAATAAATTCCAATGAATATACCTTTTTATCCTATATTTTACTTTTAACTCGTCAAAAATCAGTAAAAAAAAAATTTCGTACAAAACACCCAAAACATCTTTCCACCGAAAATTAATTTCAGCTAAAATAAAGTATTTAATGGTATTCTTTTTTTTCTTACTTGATGTTTGTTGAAAATTTAACAGTACAATGTAATGCATAATAATGTGGTAACAATAAATGAAAGTTATTTGTCATAGGAGTTTATGTAGATATACATGTATAGCTGGTAACATTTGCAAATTACCAGCAATAGAAAGTATGATTTCAGAAGGAATATAATACAAATACAAACTAGTATCTTTGCAATGAGTGGCTTTTTAGTTAGTAGCTTTCGCAGTGAGTAGGTGAGTAACTGGTCTTTTCATCAGAATTGAGAACTAATGTTTATTGTGTCATTCACAACTGGTGTTAATCTGGAAATACCATCGTTAGGACTTTTAGCCTAAGGAATGCAAACATATCTTCCTCCTTTACTAAACCTAAGCTACACA